TACTTCGAGTCAGAAAAAACTAAAACGAAATTCTAGACGTTCAGACATCTGTAAGAAAACAGAGACCTGCCTACGACTGCACTGGCAGATGAATGTACACGTGTTTATGGGAATCTTGTAATATATTCACATATTCATATCAAAGTCAAAGTCAAAGATGTTTATTGTACAAAAGGCCTCCGGCCCATATACATTGGAGTTATACATATACATTATACATATGGTGCAATAAGTAGTAATTAGTGATCCAAACAGCAAATCATGATACAGGCAGTAAATTATGTACAAGTAGTGAAATACGATAGACCTACAAAGCTTTTTATCAGATTGTTACGTTTAATAAGAGCATAATTGATATAGTACGACAGCTTTATTATTACATGCTAGTCAGTTGATGAAAGAAGTAGTTTAAATGCTAATGTAGGTGGCTTACATAAATAATATTCAGCTATATATTTCGTACGCAAATCTTTACACAAAGGACATACAAGTAAAAAATAGATTTCATTTTCCACATCTATATTACACAGTGGGCACATACTCTATTAGAAACGGGCTCATCTAACCTTGATTAGCATACGCTGGGTGTTTCAATCTGATGAATACACGCCCTAGTTACATGGAACAAAGGCCTACCGTAACTACTGCAACAGATATGGGTGTTTATGGCATTGTTCTCAAACCTTATTCATGCGTCTCATCTTGAATATTTAGCTTGTTTTACAAATACTTTATGTTAACTAATTTTAAAAAATACGGCTTAAATGTCCAATTTAACGTGTTTCAGCGTTGACAAAACGCACTATTATATGCTGACTTGCCATCACTCGTTAATGTTTCACTGATGGAAATGAATATCTCGGGCGAATCTTATACGCGCATATTTAAACCAATAATTTCAATTTCATGTGAAGGGAGGCATTGTTTCCTACTCTTGTATTCTCTGACAGTGTACGTTTGTACATGATGTAACATGTTTATAATGCTGTTCTGCCTAAATTTACATTTTGAACAATATTCTGCTCGTATCTCGACATTACAGCTTATATAGAGAAAACAAAAGTTTCCAATGCAGACTTAATCCTTTTACAGTAGCCGATGAATTTAATTTCTAATGTGTTTCTCTTTTCATCGTAACATCTTTATCATGTTTTGATGGTACTAGAGAAACAAAAACACATTATTCTTATAAATTCCAAATGCCTTCAAAAAAGACAAACATAAATGTGTTTTCTCCCTTTCACATAATCCCATCTTAAAGTGGAGAGGGGTTTAATGATGCAAGTTAATCTTCTGTTGTGTCGGAATCGTGATACTCGTCCCCGTCACTCAAGCAGTCAAAAGTACAAACTGTAAGACCTATTGACAATTATTTAAAGTCTGTTGTTACTTGTGAAACTTGAAAGCACTTCCAATTACAAAGTGACACAAAAATGAAAGAAAACTAATTTACAGTAATGACCAGGTTTTGGAGTAATCATTTTGCTATTTGTGCAGGTTGAAAGCACCTCTAATCACAAAACAGAAATGGTCAAAATGCCCATCATCATGTTCAGGGAAAAGATGACAAATAAATTTAAGTGTAAATATTTTTTAGGCATTACCCCCATGTAGACGTGAAACCATAGTACACAATTCGTCTTGCGTTGCCTATGGTACTTTTCTCATATTGAACATATATAAAATATGTAATTCAAATTGATTACTATTTGACAAACTATAAAACTGTGAATATTAACTTTCACCATTATTTGTCCAATTTTCTAAACTATCACTCGCTGGAACTTGTAACTATAACCACGGATTGTAACCAAGTCTGTCGTCTTTGAGCATGAATGGACGACATGGTTGAGTGACGTTTAAAAATAAAAAGCACGATTGTAAAATACAAGACTTCGTGGTTCTTGTGGTAATGTTTCGATACCTTTGCCATCCCCAAACACTAATACTCATATAGTCATTAGGGAACTCTAAAAATCACAAACCCTGACGAGGCTCTGTCTCCACTGTTATACCCAGTGATTCAGAAGTCACAAATCCTATCTAAGGGTATGGCAGTCTATTTAATTTTTCCCTTTCTTTCCAATATCCGACCCGTGAAGATTCGGGTTAAAAATGATTTTCGGTAGCCCATGCTTGTCAGGCTCGCAGTCTTGGTTGACACATGTCATTGTATCCCAATTGCGTCTGTCAATAATCGAGTCTGGACCAGACAATCCAGTGATCAGCTGTATGAGCATCGATCTACGTAATAGGGATACGATGACATGTGTCAACCAAGTCAGCGAGCCTGACCACCGATCCCGTCAGTCGCCTCTCAGGACAAGCAAGGGTTACTGAAGACCAATTCTAATTCGGATCTTCACGGGTTCTGATTAAAGGACCAAGAAACCTCAATACAAAGAATAGAGTTGTTGGAATCAACAGAAGGAATGTCACGAACGCACTGTCTTCCATGAGTCGTTTCGAATACATATAGTGGGGAGTTGTAAGTGGGTTTTCCTTGGGGTTTTTTTTCTCGGTAAAATCGACTGCCTCCGTGGTATAGAGGATAGACTATTTGCCCCATGCCAAAAAAAGTTGCAAAATGGTAATTGTTGTTACTCTGCCTAAGGCCAGGCACTGAAGTTTTACATCCATGTCTTTGAGCCCGTATGATGCGCTTGAGTTGTTATTTAATACGTGAGATTTCTTCATGGTATATGCGGGCTGGTACTAGAAATTGGCTACTTCCAGACTTGTACAAAACCGTACACTATTACACGCATGCGCACACGCGCACGCTCTCATTAAACAATCCTATTATTATATTTGTACATACTTACCATTATATTTCCGTATGGAAGAATGAGCGACGGTAGAAGAAGTGCGGCTACGTTGTCTAGCTTATAGTGAACATCCTCTAACATAGTGTAATCCTCCATCGACACCAACAACAACCATGCTGACATCATGTATATTGCTGTCTCCCGGTCGTCCAATCTGTCAGCCTGTCAGAACATATGGTAAAACGATAAGCTTGTTACGTCTGATTGTTATAAAAAGGACAACTTCTTTGAGTAGCATTTCAGAAGCTTGGGAGTAGAATATAGACAAACTTTATGGATAACAACTTCTTTATTTCGTAAGTGCGATGTTTTGACACACATATTTATACTTCTCCACCAAGCGAAATCAACTGTATAAACATTTCCGCCTTTTAAGCATCCCCCGTCCCCCACCACCATTTCATGTGTATTTCAATGGCTTCTATGCCTTCACCCCATTTGTCTGTCCAGCCAATTATGTGGTTTTCTGTGTTACAATCAGTATATATACTTCCCCACAACTTCATGTTACATTTCTGCTTGTCAACGATACAAGAATCTGTATCGAAACGTCGCACTCACGAAATAAAGAAGTTGTTATCCATAAAGTTTGCCTATATAGACAATGTTATAAAAAGACATAATTTCATCTCTCAGGTTAACGTGGAATACAGATGGCAAATCGGGTACCTGATCTAGAAATCTCCTTCCACAAGTACCATCACACAATATCAGAAAGTTTCTTTCAGATACCGGAAGAAGAGATACCGCTCGCTTGATGAGATCATAAATTTCTTCATCTGTGTGATTGACGTTCACCCTGTACATCGAACACTGCACATTGAGCTGCGATACTTGTGTCGAAACAGATGTGACGATAGCATCTAAATGAAAACAATATACCATTAAAAAAAATACAGGAACATTTGTGCCACTTCGATTAAGTTAAAGGATAAAAACTCAAGACAAATGGTAAAATTATCAGAGTAACAAACTGTTTAGAGTGTCAGCCTAGGTTTGATTAAGGTATGTGTCGAAAATTGCTGAGCGAAACGGAAACCCTGACAGTTAAAACAAAGTTTAAAGTGTCATAACCTAGGTTATATTAAGATATATGTCACAATTGTCAACTAAGCAAAATGGAAACCTGGATTTGTTCCGCCTGAAATGGTACTGATGCTGTGTCAGTATATATAGACACGACAATATGTCAAATATTGCTAGGCAAACAGAACCCTGAATAATCTTTAGCAACCCAATAACGCATTCAGCAGAAAACTGACCAGAGACAGTGCCGCTTTAGCGCCGTCATTGGAGTTCCATAAACGAGATAGAAGAAAATATTTACGTTCACACCGCCGGAAATAACGTAAATTGATTTCCGAATCACAGAGCACCATCTGATGTTAAGATGGTCGTAAAAACTTGCTTCCCTTAAAGTGCGGCTAAAATAAGCATCCAGTATCGTATTTATTTTAGGCCATGGCTATAAAAGTATGAATATAGAACATTTTTATATTCCCACAGTGTTACGTAAGCAAACTATATAGAATAGTACCCATTCTGTCCTCGAAGAATATGGTAACGTGAGACCACTGAAGACCAGAAACCAAAGACCCTAGAATCATGTCTGGTTCCGGCTGCAATTTCAAAGATTCCAGGCATTGCGTCGTTGATAAGATTTCAGGTCGTGAGTTTTGAAGGCATTTCTTTGCAAAGATGTCGATAAGAAAGCTCGTCCTGTCAACGGAACCATCGTGGTGGCATACGTGAGGGACACTGATACCATCCAGCCAAGATCCCGTTGCTAAGGAACCACATACCTGGGATGACATCACTATCAGGTCAGGGCTGACCAATTGTGTGGTAACTGCAACAACAATATATTTATAGCTTATCGCAAGCTGTTCGGCCTTTTGCATTGTCCGAAGACAGAAAGGTATCGACCCCGTATTATCATGCAAGGCAATGGAGACACTATTGATTAAACTCAGTCTTGCTGAATGTATAGTTGTGGAAATTAGATGATGGCGTGCAGTAAGGACGCAATCATCATCAAAGTTCGTGGAATATTTCCCACCTAACATCATTTCAATAGATATAACAAGGACACAATGACGATAATTACTTTATAATGTCGTCTCCCACGGAGGTGATATTATGCAAGCACGAATATTTAAGGTTGTAAGTTCTTGCAGTTTTCAGACTAGTTCCGTTTCGTTTTGGAATTGGAGAAATCAGCAGATAATTGAAATCATTTCAGAATGGATTACGTATCGTGTTAATTATCAACGACACACATTAATCTCAATCCTGTCAGTCTCTTGGCGAATAATGAACCCGCTACCCTAGTTTCAAAGAAACGGTATACATAAGAACAATCACTTTGCATTCAGTTGTTATTCAGCAAATATTTCGTGATGAAAGCATAAATCTATCCACACACTATATGCACTGCGCACTCCATATCGCCATTACAAATAGCAACTCCCTACTTTAAATAGCATTAAAGGGTATGTAAGCCCAAACCATTCAGAGTATATTCTTATCTACCTGTATTTTAACTGCAGAAGATTTGTTTAATTTCATTCTCTGGCTTAACTTGCAACAATCACCAACTAAGGAAAAGGTATAAATGCCGCTAGGAAGCCATGAAGGAAGCAGAGTTACCGTAAGTTACCATGGCCACTAGCATGGTCATAGAAAGAATATTTATAACGCCCCTTTCCAGGCTTGATACCCTGCTCAAAGCGTACAAGTTGAGTAAATAGCTGAGAACTAATAGTAGGCTTGTTTAAAGAAGTGAGTTTTCAGGGGAGATTTGAATGTCTGGCAGTCGGAACTGGATCGAGGGAAGTCATTCCATTCTTTAGCATAGGAGAAGGCACGGTGTCCATATTTAGCTTGTTTGACTTTGACGGTGTCCATATTTAGTTTGTTTGACTTTAAAGGGTGTCCATATTTAGCTTGTTTGACTTTGACGGTGTCCATATTTAGCATCTTTGGCTTTGACGGTGTCCATATCTAGCTTGTTTGACTTTGAGGGTGTCCATATTTAGCATCTTTGACTTTGAGGGTGTCCATATTTAGCTTGTTTGGCTTTGACGGTGTCCATATTTAGTTTGTTTGACTTTGACGATGTCCATATTTAGCTTCTTTGGCTTTGGGGCGGTGGGGTAGCCTAGTGGTTAAAGCGTTCGCTCGTCACGCCGAAGGCCCGGGTTCGATTCCCCACATGGGTACAATTAGTGAAGCCCATGTCTGGTGTCCCCCGGCGTGATATTGCTGGAATATTGCTAAAAACGGCGTAAAACCATACTCAGTCAGTCGGGGCGGTGGGGTAGCTTAGTGGTTAAAGCGTTCGCTCGTCACGCCGAAGACCCGGGTTCGATTCCCCACATGGGTGCAATGTGTGAAGCCCATTTCTGGTGTCCCCCGCCGTGATATTGCTGGAATAGTGCTAAAAGCGGCGTAAAACCAAACTCACTCACTCACTCACTCAGTCAGTCTTTGGCTTTGACGGTGTCCATATTTAGCTTGTTTGACTTTGAGGATAACAAGAAGGAGCTGACTCTCTAATCTATAGCCCCGTTGTTACTTTTGCATCGTGATCCAATATTGAGATATATATTTTTCTACGACTAGTTTTAAAACATTTTTTGATATATTGCCAGTAATTATATCATCCTTCGATGGCAGTACTTAAGATATAATAACAATACAACTTTTGTTCTAGTCACAAAATGGCTGAAATATTGTCGACGTGACTTTAAATATTAAGTCACTCACTTAAATATAATTAATTATAATTAATATATATTGTAATCACAAACCAAAAGGCCTGACAACACACAGGGAATACATGAACTCAATGACCGGAATACCTGCTGTATAACCATTTGTATTAGAACAATGAACAGAAGCCATTGCATGGACATTAGCGAGAACGGGCATTAGGCGGTTCGATTTTGGAACGCCGTTTTGTGTAGTTCATAAATACTCAGTTTCAATCAACCACTCAGAAATATATGTTTTGCCAGTTCGTTGATGTCATTTGTACAAATGGTGATATCTGCACTACGCGTTACTTGAATCGTATATCGAAAGTTGTTGTCTTAACGTCAAGTGCAGCTGTGACAGAAAAGAACATCTCTAAAACGTATTCACAGCTAAACATTTCTCTACGGCGATGTTGTTTAACTCAAAACTGAACTTGTTTCATTAACCAAACTTCTTTACTTATAATATACATTAATATGATAGCAATAAGGTCTAATGACAGCACTAGCACTAGTCTTTCCTACTGGTTATTGATTGTCAGTTACTTGTGAGAACACAAATTCTAGAAATATTCCATTCATCTATAAAGCAAATATAAATTATTTACTAGATTCTACGATGCGTGATGCATATCGTCTCCAAATTGTACGACAAGCATGAAACTGTTCATTTGAAACAAGGTTAACGTTGATGTTCCCCAAAATGTCCTTTATCTTTAGTAATATATTCATTTATGGATACACATCCTTGGTAATTAGCCCGAAAATTAATAATAAATATTAGAGCCTTCTATCTTGAACATAGCTGACGAATCATGCTATGAGCTATCACAGCACCACTACAATTGGTAATTTAGATCATACTGTTAATAACTTACATTTAGATACCGAGGCAAACGGTTGGGCTAAGTCCAGGAACATTGGCAATGCGTTGAGGCTGATTCCACGATGTAGCAATGATTCGTGAAACGAACGGAATGCTGAAAGCTCTGTGTTATTTTTCACTAAATATACTGAAATAAAAAAAATATTGGTATTTTAAATAACAGTTGGTTTAAAGCTATAATTCGATTCATGAGGGTATGTAACTGACTTTGATGACATAACTCGCGTGCGATCTGATATGATCTACTTGCAGACAAAACCGATTCTAACTGTCATCAGTGAAAAATAAATTTGGAACGAAAAACCAAGCAAACAGAAATCAAACAGAAACAAAAATATAAATCCGCAAAGCCCCTACATCCCCGAAAACAAGACATGCACTACAAAAACACAACAGAAAACGAAAAATATAGACAACACAAACAGAACCCAGCAAAATTGAACACATACGATGTAACCAAAAAACAAACAAAACAAAACAGAATAAACCCCATAAAGAATATATCCGAAATATCAGATCACGTTCAAGGCCAAATTCAAAGTTAGTTGAGCCGTGTAACTAAAAGGAACGAATTCTAGATGAACCCTCGATTACATTGACATACTTTCTTTTTAGTTTATCGCTGAGATATCATCAACATAATTGTATTCAGTATAATTAGAACCTCCAAACCGACCTTGTATTAGAATATTTTAAACGGTAAATTTGAAAACAAATCTGTAATCAGATAATGCGCGTTACGATTCCCATGGATTAATGGAACTCAATTGACAGTAGTAAGCCACGATAGTGTCAGTCGATGATGGAATGGCATTGACTGTTTGAACAATGTCACGCTGATCTTCATTTCTAAACTGGAAGAATAAATATTAAGTTTATAAGCAGTACTTACATACATCCAAAGGAATATTTTGAATACTTCCAGTTTCAAGGATCAGTAGAAAAAAACTGTATCTGAAGAGCTCTGTCATCGTGGGAGACGCTCAAGCATGTGTATCCATTTGAGCTGCCGATCCTGAAAACACGGTTAGCTGAAAATAGGAGCTGAAGGTGAACGAACAAAGCCAACGAATAATCCTCTTGTAGGTCAAAACCAACACTTAACTGGAGCGTATGGTATTGCCTCAAAACAACTGTTACGCTCTTAACGTACTCAGAGGACATGTAAACTAGAAGTTGCACTATCTGACACAGGTAGCAAATAGCGCTCAGTGGGAATAGTAAAGTCGTTCTCGTGATCAATAAGCTGTATGATACGTGTAGTGGCAGTTGTGTGGTATATATACCTCAATCAAGGTAACATATTGCATATGAAACACTGGGCAAAGTATGCTTGAGATATGTTATACTATGGTGATTATAGGCTAGTGCATCGTACTTAGCTGTAACTGGCTAATGGTGGTTGTCATATCCTATGCTTGATGAACCACAGGAGTGATAGCTGCTAATGGGATGATGATTTCCAACGAGTAAGTTATGGGCACTCAGGTATCGACCGATTAGCCGGTCAGTCGCCCAGTTAGAATGTCCAGAAGGGAACTCTGATCTTCCAGGGCAATCGTATTTTATAAACTCATTTCATCTTCTACTTCTTTCGGAATTGTGAGATACGATACATTTGACATCCGTTTCTTAAACACATGATGTCTATAGCATTGGAAACGATAGGTTGTGTAGCGAACGAAGGACACTTTCGGCATGACCAGCGAACGCTTTAACCGCTGGGCTACCCCACCGTCCCAAAAAAAGAATGTAAAACAGTGACAGTATGGAAGACAATGATAATAATATACTCTTATAAAAAGTAACGCAAAAGTGAAAAGTTCCTTATAGATATGTGGGAACGTAGTGTTACGAACGCTGAATATGTTGTGTTATAGAGGTTACAAAATGCATTTCAATCGCAAGAATCGTTTGGAAATCAATGACTTTGTACACAGATGGGCAACAGTGAAAAATCGCAATAACGCAACTGCTGTCGTTTTGAGCCACTTACGCAAAGGCATTGTATGCACGTGCAAAGCTACGACTGCAATGGTATCGAGCGCACAGGGTATGGCCTCAGGGACGATGGAGACACGTATGGTTCAGCGATGAATCCTGATTCATGCTCTGCAGGCAGGATGGAAGGGCCAGTGTCTACCGCCGAAGAAGTGAACGCTTCGCACCAAATTGCATACAAGAAGTGGACAGATTTGGTGGATAAAGTGTCAGGATGTGGGCAGCCATGTCTCACAACGCCAGGACAGACTTGGTGCACATCAGAGGGAACTTGACAGCAGAGCGCTGTGTCCATGAGATCTTGCGGCTGCACGTTGTCCCCACCATAGCCAACGTCAACCCTGTTTTCCAGCAGGACAATGCCCGTCCTTACACAGCACGCATCACCACAGCCTTCTTAGCAAGCAACAACATCAACGTTCTGCCATGGCCTTCCAAAGTCCCGGATTTAAACCCAATTGAGCATCTTTGGGATGAATTGGATAGGCGTGTGCGACGGGGACAATCACAACCTCAGACACGTTAACAACTCGCTGCCGCTTTGGCGGCTGATTGGGCTACAAGTCCCCAGGCTGTCATCCGCAATTTCTAAGAGTATATTCACCTAGCCGCAACGGTGAGAAAGTTTCAGAACTATGCTTTGGCTGGAATTTCAAAATGAAAAGTGATGTCCACACAAATGAAATGTGAGATGTAATGTGGGATCACGGCACCAGTGCGCCTCTTTACATAAAACGGCTTCCAGATGTTTCCTTTCTTAAAAACCCTGTTACACTCTGGGACAGACTACTCTGGAATATCCCGATGCTCAAGAAACTTCCAGACCAGTTACCATGGTAACCAGCACACTGAATCTTAACAAAACACTATAAGTAAGTTTCAACATTGCACCACAATGAGGAACACCGCCACACAGCACAACACATTGGACATTCTATATGCCAATACAGACATCTTTCATTTCTTGGCCAATAACAGTGTATGAAATAAGGCCCGTCCGACCGCCCGAGACGGGATAGATTTCTGACGGACGGTCTAAATCTACAGCTGGCCAGCCCGATGGTCTGGTAAAAATGTTCAATACAACTGAGCAGATTCACCATATGTTGGTGTCTGGTCTGGTAAAATCCATTTAGGGCTGGTAACATTTTAAAGTTACCATCCCTGATGTCTGGCTAGGTTTTTTGCTTATTTCATACACTGCCAATAAACAAATTATTAAAAACGTGAAACAACAGGAAATAGCATGTTTGGGGAGTGAAAAAAGGAAGGTATTGGTGTTTCAAACGTTGACTGCATGCAAGAGACTGACTGACTGACTGAGTTTAGTTTTACGCCGCTTTTAGCAATATTCCAGCAATATCACGGCGGGGGACACCAGAAATGGGCTTAACACATTGTGCCCATGTGGGGAATCGAACCTGGGTCTTCGGCGTGACGAGCCAACGCTTTAACCACTAGGCTACCCCACTGCCCCGCATGCAAGAGAAAGAATCAGAATGGAATTGAGGGATTATCGTTTTACGCCGCCTTAGCAAAATTCCAGCAATATCACGGGGCGTGACACCAATAAATGGGTTTCACACATTGTAGCTACAAACAAACACCATAAATGAAATACAAATGAAACTGTAGTCCTTTTCTTAACCTCATACACTCTACCGGAGCGGTGGGGTAGCCTAGTGGTTAAAGCGTTCGCTCGTCACGACGAAGATCCGAGTTCGATTCCCACATGGGTACAATGTGTGAAACGAATATCGTGATATTGCTGAAGTATTGCTAAAGGCTGCGTAAAACCATACTCACTCATGCTCTGTCAATCAAATCATCGATCCTCTTTGGGATACTGGATGAAAGCCACAAAACACATTTGATCAACAGATTTGATTAGTCTATTAATTCGTATAACGGTATCTCCCAGAGGAGGTAACATGTGCTGCCTTAGATCCAGTTATAATCCATGCTGCAGAAAGACCAATAACGGTTCATTTTAGGACAGCCAGCATCTGTAAAGCATAGGATAGATCGTTTACATCTGTATCACAGGCTGTTATTTATTGGAGAAAATCAATTGCCTCTTACAACAAAGAACAGGATTGTCATTGTTACCGGATGTAATCAAGGCATGAGATATTAGTGTCTCTGAAGAATGTACTGGCGAATATGGCTTTCATCAATTCATTATTTGAACATTAGGTGATTTAACCCTCTGGCTGCAGAATTACTTATTCTGCGGCACAAGATCTGAAAAGCCAAACTCGTGGGGGAATTATACCTTTCACTATAAGCATTACTGGGGGTTGTGGAATATTCAATTCCCTGTGTGGTGGCGTAAACATAAAACCACAAATGAAATTGATAGAAGGAAAAAGTACCAAGAGATGTCGGACCAAAATATGACCACTTTTCGTTGTACAATGAATAGAGTGACTGGGTATAGTTTACGCCGCACTCAGCATTACTCAGAAATGTATAAGGGTAATCTACTATGTAATTAAAAGAACACACACCTTGTTATGCAAATTGTGTGAGCATTGCTGATAATCGGGCATGGACGGGGTATGTCTACTTTTGGGCGAATACCTTGTGGTATAGATAATTTTCAGCGATCTTTTGCAAAATGTTCACAGATGTATTAACGTTTTGTCGAAGTTGAATGGAATCGGTATAACCTCTGTTCGACAACCGCAAAATGATTACCTAATAATATACATGCAGGGACTAATCTTTTCCTTCGAGACAATCGTAAGTTCCACACAACGCTTTTGAATGTATTGATATGTGTGATTATATAAAACACTGCATTATGTAAAATAGCTTGCAATAAATCGATTTCCCGTCCAAAGAAGTCGGGGATTTATACATTCGCACATGCTCGCGATCAGGGCCAGCCCATTTTAAATCAGCTCACTTGGTGATATTTTCCTAAGGAGTAACATTTTCACTATTGCTTTCTTCACGATTTAACTGTATACTTCAACACAGCCATTAAAAGACAGAACGAGTACATGCGATGCTTGTTAATATATTAAACAAATTATACGCAAACAGACGAATATCCTTTTAATTCAGCATTTACTAAATTCCACGGGGTGAAGTTATTCAACGCGGGGCAACTTGTAAATCGTTAGTGATTAAACACGCACTTCTCACCATTGTTCTGACAATTAACCGACCAAAACGTTTTGTTTCTTCTGATAATTTGTTCATGAATATATTTCTTACTATTCCGACAGTAATTACAATGGCAGTTTTAAATATAATTGTAATGGTAATAAAGTGATAATAAAGGAGCAGCTTCCAAATCAGAACGTGAAGATACAGGTTAGAATTGGTCTTCAGCAGTCCATGCTTATCGTAGGAGGCGACTAACAAGATTGAGTGGTTAGGCTCGCTGACTTGGTTGACACATGTCATTATATCCCAATAACGTAGATAAATGCGCATGCCGTTGATCACTGGATTGTCTGGTGTAAACTATATTATTTACAGACTGCCGCCATGTGTCCGGAATATTGCTGAGTGCACCATTAAACAAAACATACAAAAAAACAAAACCAAAAAAAAAACCAAATATTACAGGCAAGAAACCCAGGGATGAAAAAACATTGTATTGACACTACTGCTAGTCTGGATGTGACAGAAACAAACATTTGCCTATATATATAGTGTTAGTACATTCTAGAACGCCCGATACCACACGAGACAGTCTATAGCTGTTCTAGAAAATTCCCATATGGAAGTCCGAAAGACTGTAAAAGAATATTCCATTTCCGCATGACACCGATCCGTTCAGCTCTTCCCTTCCATCTTAGCGTCAGATAAACATGCATGATACATGACATCAAACCACGTCTTGGTCGGTTTGGCCATGGAGATGAAGAGACATGTCACTCGTAATTTACCATGATGCCATTTCCTTAGGTGATGAACCTAACTGTATCCCAATTGTGCACTTTCAAATCAATCAGCTTTGATCGATAGCAAGGTTTCAGGTTCTCATTTAGTCGTCGCGGTGATGTCTCAGAGGCTTACGTGACGACATAAATTGCTCTTGCACGTGATAATGAAGCAGAGTACAGTCGAACCCCGTTTACTCGGACCCCGTACTTCAGTTCAGTGTGGCTCACGATGTGTCGGATTAAACACATCGTGGCTTTTAGAGTGAGTGAGTGTGGTTTTACGCCGCTTTTAGTAACATTCCAGCAATATTACGGCGAGGGACACCAGAACTGGGCTTCACACATTGTACCCATGTGAGGAATCGAACCCGACGCGACGAGCGAACGCTTTAACCACAAGGCTGGTTATTGCTGATATTGCTGGAATATTGCTAAAAGAGGCGTAAAACCAAACTCACTCACTCACTCACTAACCACTAGAATAACCTACCGCGGCTATTTGGTTGGTTGGTTTGTTGTTTAACACAGCACTCGGCAATATTCCAGCTATATGACGGCGGTCTGTAAATAGTCCGGGCCAGACGATCTAGTGACCACATGATGCATGAGCATCGATCTACGCAATTGGGATACGATGACGTGTGTCAACCAATTCAACCCTCTCCTGTTTGTATGAAGGCTCCTTGACAGGGATATGGTGGTCTCTATGCTGGAAAAATCAATAATCTCATGTTGTATGGATTTTTAGGAAACTTTGGAATCTAGTGCATGACAGGGGGATGTCTTCAGGGTTTAAGGCAAATCGCGATAGTACTGATCCGTGTTAGGGGTTGAATCAGATCTTCATCATTCATCATACTGTATATAT